GCAGATAGTATTCAACGTCCCTGCCATGAAATCAGGCTTTTAGTGGAACCTTGGTAAACCTTGCCCACCAAATCTGCAAATGCTATTCAAAAGTCTTGCGACGAAATCTGACTGTAAGCGGAACCTTGCCTGTTGAACATTAAAGCTGCTGTTATTCTAGACAAAAAAGCCAATCAGCCAGGAACCAACAACTTAGTATGACACACAGGAAGATTTGAGCGGAAACTTGACTTTTAAAAACTAAAGCTGCTGCTGTTGTAAAAAGAGGCCAGAAAGCCAGGAAGAGACAGGAAACGTGATTTAATATAATGCATTACAGAATTGACAAAATGTATGAAATAGAATGAAATTACTCCAATAATCAGAAAAGAAAAAACCATCAAACATTTAATCACTCACGTTAGTTCAGAATAATGTAGTACATACCTGAAAGCGTTAGCCGTGTCTGCTCATAGGGGGAGGCGCGTCCCCCTCCCCCCAACCCGCCCCTGTGCCACAAGATTCCTGCCACGAATTTCGACTCTGAGCGGAAACTGCCTGTTAGCCAGGAGGCCAGGCAGGAGGAAAGAGATTAGTATACAGGCCGACGCCCAGCCCAAAGAGGGTTCGTGGTAGAATTATTATTTTTTGATTAAGTAATTAGTTTTTTATTGATCCCCTTGAATAATTTTTTATTGATGCGATAAATAGTTTTTTTTGATACTTCACCCCCCTATTTGCCTCAAGCCCTTCCTTCCAAAAAGCATCGCTGTGTAATGCTGAACCGATTGTGGGGACTGTGGCTGCAGTATGCTTAAGGAGTTGTAGAAGACAAGAATTTCTTCCCTGACACTGACACAGTCTCGTCTTTTTGGGGCGGAAAGCAGATGGGGAGCTTGGTGGACTGTTACTGCAAGGGTCTTTCTGGTGGACCGCGGCTTTACGATGCGTCTATCAGCCTCGAAAACGTCGCTTGGCCAGGCAAGGGACTGCTGAGAAGCTGGCGGAATGAGAGGGAATGACGCACCTGTTGACTGTGCTCGGATAAAGGGATGTCTGCGGAGGGCTTGCGGCTGATGAATACTTGTTGCATCTATGCGTTGTGGCCACACAAACATACGAAGCCCCAAGGAACCCCGGTGGTGCATGGACAACGACAATCTCGAACCCTCTGTTCGTTTCTTCGCTTGCCCTCCCCATTTGCACAGAGGAGTCTTCAATGGACTTCAACCTGAATGAGACCACCTTCCCCCCATCCTGATGGGCTCTAAGCCATCATGGTGTTCAAAACGACGCAGGTGCATTCCAATGCATTGTGCCATACCGACATCTACACGTCCCCTGGCGGGAAATCCTTGCAGCACAAGGGGCTCTGAATGCGGGATGGCCAGATTTCCGCCTGGAAGCAGGTGGCAAAACTTGGACCTGCTAACAGAGAGGTAGATCACCTCCCTGACAACCTCCTATTTGATCTATTTGCAGAGGACAATGGGTCTTCCACGTTAGGCAGTGCCATCCACTTCCACGTGCTACGTTCGTGTACTCCGCAGGCCCCCAGCGACTTGTTTGGCACGGCTGAGGCTTTCGGGCCAAGATCCAGAGGGCCTCTTTCCCAGCGCCTTGGCTCGGGCCATTTGGTTGGCCCCAAATCTGGTGGAAGTGGACTCTGGAATCTGGCGGAGCCCGAGTAAGTTAAGGTCTACACCGGTAGGAAATTGGAGAAATTCATTGCCCCAAGGTCTCCTCACCAAACTCTTGGCTAATATACCAAGTGCGATCTCCGGTAAAAGCTGTGCCGCCACGTGGGTTTCTTTGTTTGTTTTTTTGGGGGGTTTTGTTTTGCTTTGCTTTGCTTGCTTGCTTGCTTGCTTGCTTGCTGGCTTGCTTTTGCTGAGGGGCATGCGGCATGTGTAATAGTCCCGGCCCGGCAAGAGTGAAATTTGCAGTTGCAAAAATTACCTTTTCTTAAGATCAAGGGGGCCACTTCCGAGAATAGCACGCAATCACCCTCATGGATTTCATTGCGTCGGAGAATGCAACTCTCACCTCCCATGCAAAGGAAGCCTTTGCAGTCCCCACATTTTTTAGCACAGCTGAAACAGCACACTGCATCTCGACACGGTGCCGACGTCCTCGCACTCCGACAGGTCATAGGTCAACTTCTCCAGGTGAACAAGGTCGTTGAGAACTTTCTCCTTGGGAAAACACCATCGTCGCTGCAAGAAGCACCGCCAGGACCACCGTTCCACACAAACTCGCCAGGACGCAGCGAGAGAAACTCTCGTCGCAGAAGAAGAACCCCCCGCGGTGTCCCACGAAGAACACGGTCGCATCTCCACAGCCGGATCCATGTGGTGCAGCACTTGCTTCGCCACAAGAACAGTAGAACGGCCGTTCACTCGACCATGCGAGCTCGCTGGCCCAGAAGCCACAGACTGGTCGCTGATCCACAGCCCAGCTTGCCGGCGTCCTCACGGTTCGGTGGCCTTCGCCCAAATCCCCACGAAAGGCGGCCCAAGGACACCCGCTGTCTCGATGCTGAAGGGAGCATGGTAGCCTGGTAGCCCAGGTGGCAGTGGCTGGCAAGGTGGCAAGGTGGCAAGGTGATCATTCAGCGATGCTGACGCGAACAGACTGCAGGAGGTGATCTATCCACATGGGTGTCAGGACATAGCGGCATTAGTTGCGCTACATCTCTAACAAGCCCTCAAACTTGCTCCCACCCAAATGAAACGCATGCGATTGTCCTGTTACGGCCCCAAGCCCCCGGCCCCGATCTTCTATAGTGGGGGTGCCACAGGAGTCCCTATAGCGTCCCGGTTAGCCACAACAACCGACAAAAATAAGAAACACGCCTGGGCTTTGTGGTTTTTGTTCGGAGAAGCATTCAGCATTCCTAGCCCCACCGCCTTGACCTTGCCACATCTCCTTAGTTTGGGGCTTGACCATCATGAGAGTGCGGTGTGGGGCTTTTCACATCGCATTAGAGTTCATTAGAACATGTTTGAAGCCCTACCTAAATCTGCATACAGGCATTTGTTCCAACCATGGCCTCTGACTTTGGACGCGGTGGATGCCCCCCCTGTGACTGTGGAAGGCAGGGTAAGGATGACTAAGGGGGAGAACTTCAAAGGACTCATTTTGACAGTTTTGGCTAGCCACCAATATCTATTCATGAAATTGATGGACGAAATGAGGAATGAAACTTTGGGTTCCTCAATCAGGCATTTTGGGCCATGAAGCCGGCACGGTTGTGGAGAGCGTGGGCGAAGGGGTGACAGGTCTGGGCCTCAGCTTTCTGGGCGGGTTTTGATGATTTTGGTCCTTCAGAGGATGGAAAGGATATATAATGTTTTCTTGACACGTGGAATTGGAATCGCAGTTGAGCAGCCCTGAAAACTCTACGGCAACATACTGCAACAACTCGGAGTTTGTGAATGTGGACTCCATCTCTTCCTTGGATCGCCGATGCAGTTTCAACATGTTTCAACCAGATATTGTTACCATGTTGTTTATGTCTTCCGCTCTGGCACTCTTGGCGTAGGGCATTTAGGTCCGAAAAATCAGCCACTGACGTAAGCCAGCCCATCCCATGTCGAGGCCTGAAGCCAGGTGACAAGGTCATCCCTTGCTACACTCCGCAATGTGGCGAGCCAGTGCCTTCGGCCGAACCGGGAACAGGGGGTTCCCGGGAAGCGGGCTGAAGAGATGGAATCGATGAGTGTGAAGATGGCCATGGGAAACTGGTCCTCGAGTGGAAAGGCAGTGCTCCGGGAAAACTTCACTGTCTACCTATATGCATCAGCAAAATGCCTGGAAAGGCCTGTAAAAGGTTTGATGGCCAGATGTTGTGAGGCTTTCATCCAGGTGACCACTTTGGAAAAAAGATTAGCCTGGGTGAGTGCTGCAAGTCCAGCATGAAGCGCCTGTGCTTCTACGCCCCCTTGGAGTGTGTGGTGGAGACGGTCGCACCGTCTCCGCGCGCAACGAGTGCTTGGACTTCCTCCCACGGGTGGCCACGCCGCCTGGAACTCCCTCGTCGCCCATGTCCACCGTTGAAAATGCTGCCGCGACCGCTGCCTGAGGATTGTATTTTTTGCTTTCCACCCAGAGGCGGGAGTGTTCACCATTTCTCCGTGCAACAGCAGTGTGCTTTGCCCCATCAAGCAACGTAGTAGTTGCTGTGTGATCGATAGGGCAAGTGGTTGCCGTCTTTGTCGATTCCTTTTGTGGATATATTCAAAACAGAGCATTCACTGCCCCCATCACTGCCCTGCTGAACACCGCGTGTGCGTGCGCCAGGCAAGAGGACGAATTTGTGTCCCAAGATCCGTGGAACCCAAGGCGGGCACGGGTGGACGACTCGGACTTCGGACCCGGCCATGCTCTGCGGGCGGGCCGTTGGTTGCAGATGAAGGATGGGGATGAAACTGTTTGATCTGTTTGGGTGGACTTGCACTGTTGGGCAAGCTCAGTCTGAGAGGCAACTTCCACAGTAAAAGAACAACATTGGTTGGAAGCTGGTTCTGGACTGTGGCAGCCAAAGCCTCCTGCGCAGGTTAGGTGCAAATTGCCCAGGAAACAACAAGCTGATGTTTGGGCAGCAGGGGAATAAACCATTCACCTATCCTATCCTTTGTGGAAATTTGGAGACTGGCACTCTTACCCTCCCATATGGGACACCCTTCATGCGGCTTCCCCCTTGGCTCCGAAAGTGCTCCAGCGCTTGAGACGGAGATCCCTTTTGAATCTTCATCCAGGCAACGGTGTGATGCCGGATGGCACCAGCCGATTTACCGATGCCGAAGGAAAGGAGATCAAGCGCCTTGACTGAAGCTTGTGGCCGAACTCGTGGTCCAGCTTGTGAGGCAAACTGACCTGGCTTTTTCTTGAGGCGTCCTTGCGTCAAGCACCAAGGGAAGATGAGTTTAGCTTTTGTTCAGGCAGGTCCAGACAGGTGCGCGTCTGGTCGTTCACACCTCACTCTCCGTGGATTGGAAGGTGCAACATGTGCCCCTATGACATCCTAAACTACACTGATTCACAGGTCTTCCACGACATCTCTGAAGGGCATGCACATTCTTGCCCCAAAGTTGCACATTGGGGGGCTCCCACTGGCCCGGCCAAGGCATTTCATGGGGTGCTCCACCTTCTCCGAGTACACCGTAGTGGCCGACATCTCCTGCGCTAAGGCGCCCACCTTCGGTGTTTCCACGGAACGGGGAGGCGCAGGTTCGTCGGGTTCATCGTTTGGGGGTGTTCATCCAATTATATACTATATACATACTTGACGAAGGGACCTTTTTCCCAATCAAAGTCTCCACATATCCCCGTCCATGAATTTTGCCGGTTTATTGGGAAGCTCAGGACTGCCTCTCTACTCTACCGGTTCTTGTTTTTTTCCCTCTCGTTTCGTTAAACAATGACCAGTGAGGCCAAACAAAGCCTCCACAGGACCAGTCCGACAGCCTTGGACCGGGGAACCTGAAAGACCTCCGCTTCTCACACCTCGATCTTCGCCCGGGAACCTCAACCTGGGAAGGTCTCTGAGACGGCGCCCTTGGATGTGGCTCTGACGCAGAAGAGAGATCTCGTTCGGATCGGACTGGGGGCATTTCGCACGAAGGAACGGATGAACGGTGGGCGTTTCCAACACGGACGCCAGGACTTCGAGGTTCAGGACATCAGGCTCCGAGAAAGCCCATTAATCGCATCACATGATCAGGTGTACACGTATACGATCAGTTTGACGAAGTGGGCCAACCTACCATATACAACACTGGCAAGGGCTGGGCTTTCACCTTGTGGACAGCCTTCAGTATTCATTGCTCATGTTTGACAACAGGACTCGACACACGGACATGAAGCACCTTCGGGTTTCGGTGGACTTTCTAACCTCCCAGGTGTGCTCCCTGTTGGGCTGCGGTGTCTCGCCCCTTGGCAGACACAGTGTTGGCGTGTTTTCGTTGGAGCGACTGCTTGGACAAGTATCTCACTCGGTGGAGTGCCCACTTGGAATCTGCAGTGTGGCCGTGATGCTTCTTTGGCCCGCCCCACCCATTAGAGCCAGTACTGCCGAAGACAAGGCCTTTCAATCCTTGGTCTTGGTCATAGCTTCCTTTCTTTTGGCACCTGGCACCCTCAAATTGTACCTCTGGACCGTCCACATCGGCTCCACATCGGCTCCACATCGGCTGTGACGGTTCTTTCCAAGACGTGCAGGGTGGAAGCTGGGGCCGTGATCGGTTCATCCAATGGATCGGTTGCTGTGCAATACGTGCCGGTCCACAGAAGAATTTAACATAATTTAACTGCAAGACGTGTTGACCATACTGCGCATGACAGTCCACTCGTTGCTTCGGAGCTTCGCTTTCTTCCGCCATGGGCGGGTATGAGACGGAGACGTGAGTCAGATTCGGTGTCCATCATTGCCGACTTCCAAGTGGCTGGGAGGATGGGAAGTTTGCATCTTCGTGGGCCAAGCGGACTCACGAAGAGAGCCGTGGCGGAACCGCAGAACATTCCGAGCGACTTCAAGTCATTCTGAAGCGACCTTCACTCCCAAAGAGACCTTCAGTGCCTTTCACCCCACCAAGTCGCCCAGATTGGCACTCCACCCGTACTCCCCCCAGGACCGGCCTCGGCGCAGCCTGGAACACCCTGAACATCGAGGGCGGCTCCAGCGTGGCCGTCTTCGGACTGGGCGCCGTGGGGCTTTCAGTGATCCAAGGCTCCAAGATGCGGGGCGCCGCCAGGCGCGGTGGCGCGGTGGGTGCGGTCTCCGGGGTTGCGCAAAGGCTTCGGGTGACGGCCCAAAGGGAGAAGTTCAGAAGACGTCATCAGAGCCGTGCCAGAAATTCACAGACTCATTCGTGGGATTCATTTGGACTCTGGTGGTTGCAGGGCTCTCGTTTTCGCCATCGCTGTCCAGAGTTGGGGCCTTCGCTTCGCAGGATATTTGCAATTGACATGTACCTGGGCGGCATTTGTTCACCTTGCGCTGGGTCTTGCCTTGGTAATGGTTTTGGCGCAAGTGATCACCTCAATCTTGTGAAGCATGATGCCTTCTTTCCTCTGAATCAGGGGTGAGGGGAAAACATTGAACTTCATCCAGATACTGTAAATAGTGTTGGCCAGAAGAATGTGCAGTGTCAAAAGCTTCCTTTGCTGCTGAGCTTGAACCTAGTGGATACATGCCCCCGCACCTCCTGGACCCTGGGTGTGCAGGTTGGCTGCACCAGACAATGCTGTCAGGATCATTTTCCATATGCACCTGAGTGCTGAAAGGTCAAGGTGGTTGCAGCCCATCAGACTGCTACTGGCCGGTTGCAGGTAGCCGTGCAGTCGCTAGCTGTGCCCAGGAACCCGAAGAAGTTCGAGATGGCCAAGGAGCTGGGTGCCACAGACTGCGTGAACCCTAAGGACTATGACAAGCCCATCCAGCAGGTGAGCAAATGGCCAAACTAAATACAGCGGTTTCAGAGTAGATGGCACAAACCCCAAGATGTCTTTTAGATGGGGATCCATATAAACCACCTTTTGAGGATTGTGCAATCTACTCTCAATCCACTGTAGTACAATCATGTAGTACCAGGCGGAGATCATAACATCAACGTTACGAGCTATGGGGTCAGTCGAATTGTCTCAGCCATACCTTTGGCTTGAACGTTTAGGTTTCAGGGCGGGTTGGGTTTTGTGTTCGGGGCAGTGCAAGTTGTGTTTGAGGTAAACCCTGCTGAATTAGGACCTGGGCAAACAAAGACATGATTTATATATATATATACATCTTGAACACCTATCGGCAGCCTTCCATCTTTTCTGCGTTCGACCCGTTGGCACACCACAAATAGAGCAATGCAGGTCATTGTGGGCATGACAAAGTGGGGTGTGGACTACACCTTCGACTGCCCCTTGGACCCCAGTTTTTCAGAGCAGCCGAGCTGGGACATGCCATACTGAGCTGGGAAGGCCCTCGAGCAGGAGATTTGAATCCCAATTTCCTTTTTGGGCATCATTGGAGTGATCTCCACGCCCAAGAACAGACAAAGAAAGGCCCTGTGGCCTACTGGCTTCACATTCCTCATCCTCTCATGCCCTCATGCCGTGCCGGGAGTCACAGCCAAGTTCCATTGAATGATGTCTTCAGCCAAATCCCCACTTGTTCGCGCCCCCGGACCTTGCTCCTGACCACCAAAAACAAGAGTGATGCGTGCTGCCAAGGCACTGGAAATGTGGAGGTGATGCGTGCTGCCTTGGAGTGCGCTCATCGTGGCTGGGGCGAAAGCTGCGTAGTGGGTGTCGCCGCAGCCGGCAAGGCGAGCTCGCCGGCGAAACGGCTGTGTCGGTACAAGAACCGGCACCGAACCGAAGCTCAACGGAAAGCAACGGCCTCGACCCGACCAATATTCTTTCGTTGGGAGTGACCGGGGTGTTGCCTGCTTCGCTCGCATGGCAGCCGGCTGCGTGGACTGGTGCGGACTCTTACACGGCTGCTCCTATAACATCCTACAACCTAGATTTGCCCCAACTGTTTGACACCCAACAATCCAAACAGAGATCGGCCAGGTGTGGTTGTCAGATATCACGGGCTGGTACAGGGAAGAAGAAGCAAACCTTCGGGGGCTTGGTGCCAACCATGCAGGAGATCAGCACACGGCCGTTCCAGCTGGTCACCGGCCGCAAGTGGACTGGCACAGCGCTTGGCCCAGAACGTTTGAACCGAACGCCTTAGTAGAAGGCGTCCTCAGTGTTATAGCAGTCTCCGAAGAACAAGGGTCGGATTGAGCTCGGAGTTCTTTTTGGGATGTCTTCTGGGAGTTTGGTCATGCAATTTATGGAGTGTTGCAGTCTGCGACCATGTCATGCCTGTGGCCCATCAATCCTCCAAAAGCCCCGGACCTTCCGCTCCCTTCCGGTCGCCTCGGGGTTCTCCAAGGCCTTCGGCGGCTTCAAGGGCCGCTCAGAGGTGCCACCCCTCATCGACGACTATGAGGACCGTCTCCGGGGTGCGCTTCGCACCGGTGTGACCGTTGACCCAAACAGGGCAAGACCCAACAGCTTGGGCCAACAGCTTGCGTCTTCGGAAGCCTCGGGGTGTAAACTGGTTCAAATTCCTGAGGGTTCTGATATGTTCTGATGGCACTTGATGATGAACAACTTGACTTAGCTTGGTCGTGGTTGATGCTTGATGCTGCAGCCTGGCGCAGTCTAGTTGCTAGTTTATTGAAGCCATCAACACAATTTTGGATTCATGTCCCATCCCAGTCACTGATTGTTTTGGCGATGATACCCAGACCGATATTGACATCGATTGATATAGCGAACACCAACGACGTCCGATGACATCAGATCTCCTCTAAATTTGAGGGATGTCTGGTGTTTGGGGCTTTAAACTCACGGAGTTCTCCTTCGTTCAGCTGAGTGATTCCCTTGGGAACGGGGTTCGGGGTTCACCTGTGACCGATGCGCCCGAACAATGGGCCACTTCACCAGTGTTCGGTGGCGTTCATTTTGGGCACATAACAAGGAGTCACAGTAGAAACGTTCTCGACCCCACCCGAAATACACAGCACTAAAGGCAAGCGCGACCGACCGCATGACCCCAGGCAGGCCGTCTAAAGCTCGACCACTACATCACTCATCGCTTCCACGGTGTGGAAGGCGCGCCACTGTGGCACTGCCCGATCAATCCTTGTCGATGCGTTAACACACAGCTGGTGGCTGTGTTTGGGTGGCCATGTTCGGCCCTTGGAAGATCAGTGAAAGGCCAGGCGGAAGGACCTGAGACGTTACTCTTGCAACTCTTTGTCCCAAGAAGGCCCAGAGGTGTCTTCGGACCCTTCAACTCACCGGTTCGGCCCGCCTGGCCTGCGTGTCACAGGCAACTTGCAGGCCGTTGAAGCGTTACATTCTGGCGACTGCCTCCGGGCCGTGCGGCACTCAGTCGAAGATGGTCGAAGCGATCTCGCGATCGCGGCACCCTCTCTGGAGGAGATGGAATCTCACGGAGTTGGCCAGGGTGGGTTTCGCAGTGAAATCGGTAGGGTAGGTCTTCCCTTTCACACTGAGAGTTGTTGGGGGTGAAACGGGGCGCCCTTTCCGCGCCCACGGTGGGGGACCTTATTGGGCGGCTCACAACCTCGCCTGAGGTTGTGACCTACTGAGACGAGGTCTTACGAAGAGGTGATCATTGCCCAATTGAGAGGTCCAAGTCCAAGATGTGACTGAATGGAGCCCCGGTTTGAGATGGGCTGGAATCTGCCGGAGGGGGCACAGAGGCAACAGAGAGCGTAAGTTGGCGCAAGTTGGAATACCAAGACCGCGGGATTTGCCTGGTTTGAGCTGTCCTGACTGCGCCCTTCTCTGCCTGATCCCAGCAAGGAGCTGGCAGCTCGCAATGTATATAGATAGCTTTTGAAAGAGACACTTCCGAATGAAGCTAGCAAAGGCGGGAAAAGAGGTTAGCCTGTGAAGCGGATGGTGTGATGACGTGTGGTCACGTATCATGTCAGGTTTTTGGTGACCAAACCCAGGGCTTCTTCGGCAAGAGCCCCCGGGTCACGGGAAGGAGACCTTGGAAATTATAGAAGATTTCTAGATTACTTTTTGGGACCCCGAATGCCAGTTCTGCATGTATGAGGGCCCAGCCAGCTCCAAGTAAGTGAGGTACGGTTCTATAGACATGAATCTTGCGGGAAAGTTCCGTTTTCTTGCCCAACCATCTTCTCCAGGAGCAGAATTGGCCTGTCTCCAACGTCTTCTTCGCAATGGCATGGTGGCCAAGACCGCCATCGGAGAGCACTGCGAAAAACTGAGCAAAATCCTGTCCAACTCGCTCATGGGCCTGGGCACAAGGTGCCTGCTGGAGATGGATTCTGCGATACTTTTTCATTTGGGACCTGGAACTCCAAAACATCAACATCGCCAGCCCAAGCCTCAAAAAGTTTCACTTCCGGGTTCCCTCAAACACAGGTCGCAGGGTTGACCCGAAAAGCAGGACGCCCAGTTCCATTTGCAAGAGTGGACACTTCCATCCAGACCGAGCCGTGCTCACTGAGGCAATTCTGCCACAGGCCGTGTCTACAGTCTTCAAGGCGAGATGGGATCACAGGTCCAGCGGAATTGGAAACCAGTTTGATTGATTGAGCCAAAACCCGCCCCAAAAAATCAGCTAAAGCCCCACCCAAACTGGTGGACATTGACCATGTTTTGGTGCTTTGCTTCCATTCAAGTTGGCGCTTGAAGTTGTGCCCCTTCTTTTTCCTCAGTCCGGGGCCGGGGTAGTTTTCTGCAATCCATGGGTTCTCCAGCTTGACGTCGAGGATCTTCTTAGATTGGTTTCGTTGGCCGTCCTCCCTGCAATTCCTTCAAAGCATCGTTTAGGTCGGCTGAGGCCACGACCTGGGCCCAGGCACCTCTAAGTCTGCAACAAATCCCAAGTCTTCCCCCTGGACGATGTGCAAGTAGATACAAGGTTTCGGAGAGCAGGCGGGTCGCGCAATTCGAAGTACATAAGAACATATAAGAGCCAAGAACCCTCCGGGGGATTGTGCACGGGCTTTTTGATCTTTTGGTCTGGCGCGACGAGTAGGCATGTGTTTGCAGTGAGGAGATTGCCTTTCGCGGATATGATGGCGACCTCGACGTGCCGCTTGGCGACCTCGTGTGAGGATTGAGGCCCAAGGACACCGTGTCTCCAAAACGATGCCGACAGCTTGACATCAATGTTAAACAGGTGGATCCGGCGAAAAAACGGATTTGGTCCTTGAGGGTCGCGCAGGGTCGCGCAGCCCGGAACCGGAGTGGTTTGGGCCGATGGGAAGGAAGAGTTCCATGAACAAGAGGAGCACTCAGCGCTGGACAAAGCAACACCTCAATTTGGCACCTCTCCCGCCTCTCGCCTCTCCCGTGCCATTTTTCAGCAGATACCGGGCCTTGCCACTGTGCGTCCCCACTGTGCGTTGCACACCCGCAGCCAGTTCCCGGCCTTGAGAAGTGTAGGTCACAGGTCACATCTTCTGCCGAGGGCGACACTCCCCGGAACTAACCTGGAGGTGGAAAATGGTTGGAAGACAATTTTCCTCTACAAACAGGTGGCTTTAGTTACAGGCAGAGTTACATGGACCGCAGAAAAAACAACAAACCACTGGGTTGTAGAGGAACGTTCCGCCCCGAGTCCACAAGTTCCTTTTTCACCCACGTAGTCGTCTGCAGGCAGCTACCATCATCTAACAATCAATCACACCACTCTGATCTCTGTGGTGATGGGCCTTGGGCCCTCTATCCCTTGAAATTCGCTCAGATTTTCAGGAACGTCTTGCAGTTCTGGGTCGCAGCTTTTCAGGCCGCCTTGGGCTGCTGAGAGTTGGTTGGGTTATGCTTCAGCTGTGCAGCAAGTGCAGGTGCAAAAGTTCCTTAGGGTTATCTGGGTGTGGCATATTGCAGCTTGAAGCTGATCATCAAATAGGTGCTTGACGAGAGCATGTGTGGTGGTTTTCAGCTTCCTTCGTTTCTGGGAGTAGTGGCATGACGGCCAAGCACCCTTCGGACTCGCCGGTGGAGCTTTACTGAGGGACTCCTCGGGATCAATTACAATCGCTTTCAGAGGCTCCAAGGGCGCCAGAACCGTGTTCCCCACCGGTTCCCAGGGAGAAAAACGTCCCGCCCCGCCAGGTGGCCGTGAACTTCTTGTGCATGCCAGTCTACTCCCTGCAGATGCTGGGCCCACAGCGGGTGCCCTTAGAGGCGACGGAACCGCGACGTGACAACGATGCGCGGATCACACATAAACGCGGCGAAGGTGTTGTTGTATGTTTTTCCCGGAGAGAGCCAGCTGGGATGCTAGCTTGGCCATTCTCGTCTAGAGAGTGGTTTGTTTCATGATGTTGCCCTCTTGGATTTGTGTGACAGATCTCTGTGCCCTGTTCTGGTGTCGGCAATTTGTTCGCAGGATATGCCCCTGCTCACCGTGGGCGGCTCTAAATGCCTCTTCATCGGACAGGCAGCAACACGCCTGGTTTGGGCAGGGGTAGTCGTGAGCCTCAAAATGCGGGTGAATTCCAAGGCCACCTCTATTGAACAAGTGTGCGCAGAAAACAGATTTCAATGGACCATCGGTTCCTTCATACGCTAACAAGCAGATCGCGAAAACGGATCGCACATTCCAACTTTCTGTCCGTCTCAAACAGTGAAAGCACAGTGTCCGTTGGAAGCATTTGCATATGCTTTTTTGGAAACGAAGGAGAATGACAGGCCGCACGTATTTGAAATCAATGCGCTGGTATGCTTGCTTCAGCTGCACCTATATACCTGTGAGGATCAGGTGGTGGAGAATTGCGGCCTTCCAGACGTCCGGGCACCCCAAATAGAAGGGTCAAACATGCAAATCACAGTTCTTACATTGATTCTTAATGATTCTTACCTATTTTAAGGTCAGATGGAGGCGGATGATCACGCTGAAGGAAGAAAAAGAGATTATATACACCCAACACAGGTTCAGTACTCGGTTGAGAAAAGCACGATAATCCACCGAAACTGGCAGCTTCAGAGCCTGCAGGATACGGCGATGGTTGCTGTATCCACCTACCCGATACACATAACAATCAATATCATACAGTTGATGCTGGTCCTTTGGCAGAGCCACAGCTTACTCTTAGGCTTTTCCCTGGGGTCGAAAAGGGTACCTCGATGCACCTGAGAGCCAAGGCCCCACAGTTCCCGCTGAAAAGGTCGCCAGTGGCCGTAATCGATCGGCTCCGGTGTGAAAATGAGGAGAAGCCCTGCGACAACTGCGAAAAGGCCCTGGTGCCTGCCGGGGGCGCCTGACGGAGTGGGTGGGTTGCCCAAGCACGAAGCCAAGTGATTTTCCATGATGGAATGGCAGGTGCAACTGCTGCAACTGGTAAACTCAAATATATAGGACCCGTGGAAACTTGGGAGCTCCGACTCTGGTGTTCCATTCGGCTTTTGCTTGTGCCAAAGAGGAGCGGATTGGAAGCGGACAGCCTTGATACAGACCAGCGCTTAAATGCGCATCGATGCGCCCATTGCCACGAAGCACTCGCAATTCCGAATTCGCTCATGACCACGACTTGGACGTACGGTTGGACATAGGTCATGTCTTAAGCCCAGCTGGTTGGTGCCCAACAGACTGCACAGAGGATGGAGAGGGGTCATGTCTCAGCTAACGTCATCTCACCTTAGCTCCTCTTCGGGGCGCGGTTGAAGGTCAGAGACTTGGAAGAAAGCTCAGGACATTTGGCGTCCAAACAAGAAGCTTGTTAAGGACATGTGCTTTGTTAAGGACATGCGTGCTTTTTGTAAAGGAAATGTGTGCTTTGTGTTAACAAGACAGAGGAACGCACTGACCAAACAAAAAGCACATTTTTGAGGTGTCCGACCTCGGCTCAGCCATAGCATTGGCTTGGACGCGCGTCGGTCTACGTCCAAGCACGCCCAACGGCCACGTGGGTGGTCACATGCCATGGAGGGGCTGGTGCGCTCCGCGCGTAGCATTGAGGCAGACTTGGAGGCGGGGCACAGAGCTAGAACCTCATGATCTTGAAGGGTCCAATCTCAGAGAAATCCTGGTTGATTGGTGGAATCCTCGCTGCTTGGTACCAAACAGTGGTCATTGCAAGGAAGTTGAGATCAGACTCGTTGTCGTTGGTCTCCGCTGGAAAAATATAAGGCGCGCACCTCCGGCTTGGAGCGGTGCAAGCCGGAGCCGCGCTCAAGAGTGCAACGAAGTCTCATGGCCTCCACCATGTTGCAGCAGCTGTTGCAACCCCCCAAAAAACAAGCCCAACTCGCGAGGAAATTTGCCGGCGCTCCCAGAAGGTCAAGGTGCGAAGCGGAGTCGGCCACTGCGCGAGTGAGGGCTGGGTGGAGACCTGTCCGCCACCATGGATGAGTTGGTCACTGAGAAATGCTGCTGGGAGAATGGCACGGGGAATCGTCAACGGGGTCGACAAAGATAGGGTTGAAGCAGCCCTTGACATGATGGTTCACCACTCCCTGGCCAGGTATGCTTTGACACCTCCACTGTCGGATTTTCTCGTGTCGGCCCCAAAAGCAGGAAGTGAAGCTCCTGGCCAGACGTCCATCCTCAATCCGATCATTCTCACCACCTGACCAGCTTGGTCGGGTGCGTCATCGGCAGCCG